TTTTTTTTTTTGTCTTTCTCTTCGTGGCGATGGAGGTCATTCGCCACATCCTACAACTCAAACTCTGTTTCTGTACTCTTCTGTGTGTCGCTGACGCAGAAATCAACGACAAAACTGCCAGAGAGCTGCAGCCCGCGACTTTGAACTACGGGGGCACAATTTAGGACGGTTTTTAAAACACTACAGGACCTGGAAGGAGAGAGACTGCTGATCCTGTGTGGTCCTACACACCTTTTTCCGACAAGTCTTTGAACCTATATATACACTGCCCTATATACACACTCGCATTCAGCGGCAACTACACGGTTTCCGTTTTACATTTTCCTTTGGTGTCGGTATGCACAGAATGATGCCACAGCATTGCTGTTGAAGGTACTGATATTTTTAAACACTACACAATAATGAAGCTCCGGACGGCTCGATTCAGAAGATACACAACGTTCAGCCTGAGGGAACCAGGAGAGATCTGGTCTACAGAAAAAACACCGCGACGACAAACACTGCATGGGAGAAACAAACGCCTTTTTTGTGTCATTTTTCCAACATTTCACTTTCGCCGAATTTAAAAGGAAACACAAGAAAAACAACTAATGTTGAAAAAAAAATAAAAATTCGAAAAAAAGGGGGAAATGACAAGGAAAAAAATGGAGTGACTTTTTTTTTCTGCATTACCTCAGTTTGTCTTTCGTCTGTTTAGTTTTGTCGCCACCGATAAGAATTTGCATAGAAATGTCATCATATGTAACGTGGACGAACTGTCCACTGTCTTCACATTTATTACTGTAGCTGCAACACTAAGACGGGACGCGGAGTCATCTACGCTACGTTTGTCCATTATGAGAACTCCCGCCCCCCCCTCTCTAGAGGCTCACACTGCTTCTTTCACTCGGCCCCGTTTCCTCTGGTGTCTCATAAACCGTCAGACATTCCGGCCGTGGCGGCGAAACGGAGCGGGTCAGACGGACGAAGAACCCATCGAAATACTAGATTTAGCAGATGTGAAGCAGGAACACCCACGCTGGGAAACGAATCATGTGCCAGTCAGCCAAATGGGAATCCCTCCTGGCCAATTGAGATATTTCTGCTGTGAGGCAGAGCTGCTCCGTGTGTTTGAAACTCAGAAGAACAAGCAGATCCCAACAGAACGGCCCAGATTAGAACACATTGGAAACAAAGAGGTTGCAGTCCTGTGATGGAGTAATGAGAATTTATCATTTTACTATTTATATTCCTCGTTGGTTTTTTTGAACGCCACATGTCCACATGATTTTTGGATTTTTAAACCTGTCGTGATGCTCTCTGGGATTGTTCGGTCCGGATGGTTTTAACGTGTCTGTCCTGTATTTATCACATCTCCGTATACTCTCACTATGTTATTGATATTATTTGCCTTTTTTGGTTCCAAAGATTTTCTGAAGAAAGCACATTTTCTTTTGGGGTCCTGATGTATTTCTTAGTTTTGTGGTTGATACATTTCTTTCTGTGCCTTTTTATTTTTTTTTTTATATATATTGTTTTTAATCTGTGGGTTGAAGCTGTGTTTTTCAGCACAGTGTTGAAACAGCACCCTGGGAAATGCCATTGAAACAGCGTCTACAATAAAAACAAAAGACAGAGCAGCAATTTAGGGAATTCTGACCCACAAACAGAGAAAAAAACAACAACCCGGTTAAATAGAATTCAGTTCACACACATTTATTGGCCTTTTTTTCCCTTTTTAGAGAACGCACGACACATGCTGTGGAGTGCGGAGGCGTTTTGCTGCAGACAAGGGAAATCAGTGCAGATGGAGTGAGTCATGAGGGATAAGCAGAAACGGTCTGGAGCGGATATTTTGTGTTACGTTTGCCATTAGGGCCGAATAACTGGCAAAGTACAGGGAGGGGAGACATCCACAACAATGTGGAGCGCGCCCTGTGGCCCTGTGGCCCAGCGGCGGCCACCTTTCGGAACAATGAAACAATGCGTGGGAGGTTAGTGGAGGGACATTGTGCCTGTGACGGTGAAGGTGAGAAGCTGAGCCATTAATCATTAGCTGACAGGATAACAACGTCCCCTGCTGTCTATTCTCTTTTCTTCTTCTTTTCGGGGGGCACGGACAGTGCGGGGGGGGGTAATGTTTTTATATGATTGTGAAAACTGTGCAGTAGGTCCAATGAGTATTTCTGACGCGCATTACCTCTTTTTTTCCGTCTTATTATTCCTTACAAGTATTATCAGAAGTGTTGCTATGCATGCTTTTGTGAGAGAGGAAGGGCGTCAGCCAGAGAACCCTTTTTCATTGTAGTGCATGAATTTCAAATCATAGTGCTGGAGGAGGAAGATGAGGAGGAAGATGATTATGAGGAGGGGGAGGGAAGGAGGGTGTTCACATAGCAGGAGGAGGAAAGGACTCGGATGTTATGTGATGAGAGGTAGAGAGTCTGTTGTGAGGCGAGAGGCAAGCGGCCATGTGGCTTTGCAGGAGCCGCTCTGCGCCTCTGTAGCCGCTGCTGTGATCACCAGCCGTGTCGGGGATGTGTGACGTTTAATTTGGCACGTCTAGCCCCCCCCTCGTGGTTTACTTTTATAATGACAATACAACTCAAGAACATTCACCTTAACGACACGGCCCCACCCCGCCTAATGATTATTCTGCTGTAAAATAGGGAGAGAGAGAAACAAGTCACGCGCGCAGCGCTGCGTGAGGCTGGTGAACGGGCAGCAGCTGCTCCAGAGCGGGACGGTGAACCGGCCACGTGCAGATGCTCGTTTAGCGGAGTCTCCACCTCGCGCTGCCCGGTCGAGGCGGCGTAATCGTTATCGAGCAGCAGCCTCGGTGACTCCGTGCGGGGTCTAATTGGAGCGAAGCTAGGGCTGCTGGAGCACACACACATATACCTACACGCGCACACACACTAGAGAGAGCAGAGGTTCTCCTCAGCCGCTGACCCCGAACCCCCTCCCCTGCACTGTGCTCGAGTCAACCCAGTGGGAGTTTTTGTGTACAGGGATCTCATGAGTTTGAATTGCATGTGGATTTTTCTTTTGTTAAACGTCACATGCTCTTAAAAGCTCATTTATCCAAGTGATTATTTTTTTTCCAATAAGTGACGTGTATTTTCTCACAATGTTTTATTTTTTGCCATCCTTGTGTTTATTCTCTTCATTATTATTGAATGTATATAATAAATAAACTGTTTGGTTTTTATACTGGTCTGTGACTGCTTATTACCTCAGCACCATAGCTCCTATATAATTGGTTTATATATAAAGGAGGTGATGCTCCCAGGTATAGCGGTTCGGTTCTAACCATCCTGACATTTCCTTCCCGCGCATGCGCAACGATCATCTGTTTTTCTCCAGTGTTCGTCTGGAATGAGTAACCAATCAGGAGAGAAACTCTCCAAAGGCGGAAGAGCTGATGTTGCAACCTTTTGATTTGAGGCCAAACCAAGATTCACTTCTCACACTGAGCACAAACCAGCGTGAGTCAGATGATGGATGGAGGTAACGGCCATTAACGCCTGCTCGGCTGGGTTGCACTGATCCCAAAAAAAAAATAAGCTCTTCTGCCACCTCCCAACTTTTTCATCGCTGCCACGGGAGAGGTCGGGATGGAGGATCTGGAACAATCTTTAATTGCATCTGGAGTTGATGGCCGTTAATAGGCTGGATGTGGCGGGAAAACTCATATCCCTGCTAATTGCTCTAATGCACAAGAGGCCAATTGGCAGTTTGATGGCATGCACGCTCTGAGTATTTGGAGTTGGGCTAATTGGAAGAATAGATTGAAGGCTGTCTGATAAGAGAGGGGGGGGGGGGGGGTCGTGTTTGAAGATTGCATCTATTGAAGTGAGGATTTGACCTTTTTTTGTGAGTGGCAGAGTCACTGCAGGACACATTACGGGCTGAATGTAGTCGAAGCTATTCCTGTCGTTGGATTTAAATCATGCTGTATGCTCTCTACTACTTAAATCATTTCACAGGCATGTGTTGTTATACGGTGTTATATTGCCAGGCCTGTTCTTTCAGACAGTGAAAGTCTAGCATGTCAGTTCCGACTGGTTTTGTCTCGGTGCGTCTAAACACTGCCCCCTGGTGGTTAAAGTGTGGTACTGTACCCATGCTCCCTGAGTGTTGGTGGAGCCTCCGGTGCTGCTGCCATGGCACTGACTCTCATTTAGAGCTTTTGGTGTGCCATCTGTGCAGTCTGTGAGTGCGGAGACATGAAGCTTTATGGCAAGCGCATCATTTATAGATGCATCTTTTATTTAGACCACCTGCATGTGTCAGAGTAGAGAGCCACACCTTGTACGCAGGGGAGTTTCTAGGATTCAAAGAAAGGGGGGGCTTAGCCCCAAGGGGAGTGGGATGTTTGCGCGAGTAGTGCGCGGCAATTTTTTTTGGATATCCATTGTTTCAGACAGTTCATAGATTGGTTCAATCAGAAAGAGTGTGATTTTGCTCTGTAGTTTTGCCTGCATTCAGTATATGATGACACAAGAGACAGAATTTCAGGGTCATAGTGAAATTTGACAACACAAATATGAACTTTTCTCAAATAAAGAGAGAGAAATAATTTTCCTACTTGTAAAGGAAAGACGGATAAACTAGCTTTCATATCCGCGTCACTCCCAAATCCTAATTCTTAAAGGGACCGCACACAATGGATGGAGAATGGACCTGACAGCGTCAACTTTATATCGTTCAGTATGATGATAGGCTGTTGGATTGTAATTTGAAGGGGGAGAAATCATACAGTCCATGTGAGAAACAATAGTTTAATTTAATGACATCACCCCAAAAAAAAAAAGTTTTTTATTTATTTATTTTTTTTTTTATCCAATAATGCCAAATTATTTGGGGGGGCTGAAGAACATTTTAGGGGGGCTTCAGACGCCCCTGCTTGTACGCCTCGTATCTTTTTGTGCAGGCGGAACACATCCATTGCTTTCACTTGACAGAACGCAGCGACTGTGACTTAACTCTGAATATGAAGACGTTAACCACTGATGGCACGAGTCTACCACGCTGCTGACGGGTCTCCTGTCCCATCCTCCTCCTGTGTTGTCTCCCTTCCTCTCTCCTCCTTTCATCCCTCCTTTCTGCTGTTCACAGAGGCCTCTGTCCCGCACAGCAGTTTGGCACCTTCAGAGTGACAGTTTCACACCTCCTCTATCACCTTGGGGCTGTTATATACCATCTCAGAGCTGCAGACACACACACACACAGTCATGAAGACTCACTTCTACTAAGCATTTGATGTGGATTTCCCACCAGAATAAAGCTGGACTATCTGCACCAATCCAGCCTCCACGGGGAAAATCAAGGAGATGAGTCATTCTGCTGAGTCTCTTTTTTTTATTTTATTTTTGGGACAGAATATTTAACATCCTGGCACATTTGAAATAACTCTTATAACACTAAACAGAAAGTATTTACATTTGCACATAAAAAAGGTAGACAAAACATGTGCCAAGTACAAATTAGTGCATGAGTTACCAACAGTTTTGTGTTATCTATCAGTGTGTGTAAGAAGCAGAAAAAATGATTTTAATCAATATTCATCATAAGGTTCCAGGTAGTTGGTGGTCTGCGGGCGAGGAATGGTGTAATCTCTGTCGGGGTCGATTTCCTGAAACACAGAAACATAGAATCATTCATCGCAGTGGTGCAGTTCGTATAAGCCGTGATGAACTGAGCGTTCATTAACCTTACAATGTGACTCGGCTATAATTGCCCCCAGCGGGGGAAAAGGTCACGGCTCTTAATTGTAGGAGTCTGCGAAGTCAGATTGTTGATCCTAATGCTTTAATACTCACTGTCACGGAGAATTCAGACTCGTAGGGTGATCGCAGAGATTGCTGAGTCCTCCTGCCTGAAGGGAGACACACGATCCAGTTAGCTCATTATCGGTCCATTACGCGCTCTTCGTCATAACGGAAGGCACACTTCCCACAGTCGATAGTGGGAATCACTTTGTAATGTTCGGCTCCATGTTAGTGTTTTTTTCTCTTTTGTTCACTTGTAGAGTCTTATTTTTACATTTTAGCTTTGTTATTTGTACAGGAAGTGGACAAAAAGGGCCTTAAAAACAAGTCCGAAGTAAAAGAAATAACACATTTTTGCCTTTACAAAAAAAAAGTTGAATTCATAAGCAGAAAAACAAACCAATGCTTAATTTAACAATCTCAGTTTTTTTTTTTTGCTGCTACAGCCTTACTTGGACTGGTATGACCGCTAGCTTATAGCGGCTAATGTTTGCTAACGTTAGCAAACTTCAGATGGTTATTGTTGTGTAACTGATATTAAAGTCAGTTTGCCAACTTCACAACTCTTCTCTTGTAGTGCAGTCGTTTTATCATTTGTTATTAAATTAAAGGTGCTAAATACGGGATTGGGAGCATTTCAATTGCCTCTCAAATGTCTCTCAACATGGAGACACCTGAGCCGGCGGCTAGCAGCTAGCAGTGCTGACAGAGCTAACAGTGTTTACCTGAGGGGGGAACCGGAGCGTGGGGTGCTATGACGGCGTTATCAGCTGTAACCATCATACGAGAGCCGTGCAGAGCGATGGCATTGAGCTAACCAGCGGGGCACGCTCACATGCACGCTCACATGCACTAAAAGCACTCGCGGTTGTCCCGGCTATGTCAACAAAGCAAGGAGAAGCTCAGATTACAACACACACACAGAAGGAGGGCGACTTTATTCTCTGCTCAGGTAGACATTACTCCACTATATCTGTACATAGATAATAAGTGTTAGCTGCTACATTAATGCTCTTAATCCTGTTTATTGCACCTTTAAATATCTTTTGTTTTTTACTGTTGGTTCGGACCCAACAGGCAATGTGAAGATGTCCCCTTGTGATGGGGATTTTATCCTATTTTCTGACATTTTATGTACTGAATCGAAATGAATTGCTTAATTGATTGAGAATAGAATTGATAGTTGCAGCATTAATCATTTTTACACCCCTCGTCTAGCTTCGCCCCTTTGCACGATTTGCAACCTTTCAGTTGAGCGCCTCTCAGTTAGGCCAATGAGGAAAGCTTCTCACCTCTACTCTTCTCACTTTCACTCTCAAAGCTTCCGTTTTCTTGCCCTTCCTTCGGGCTGGCCAGTCCCGGGATGTTGGCACTGGGGCTGGTCCAGCCTGCAAAGCTCAGCGGGATATCCTTGGACTTGGCCTCCCCCCTGCAGAAGATGGCGATCTGGGACAGCCCGTGGCCCATCAGTAACACCCAGCCGTTCACCACCAGGGCGATGGAGAGCACCGGGTCATCCCACCGCGGCCGGCGGTCCACGTCAGGGTTTCCCCTGACGAGCATCGTGATCCACACCACCCAGATGCAGGCGGAGAGCAGCAGCGTTAGGAAGAGCAGCGTGGCCCGTGCTCGGCCCTGCTGGTGGGCGGTCCCCGTGTAGCTGTAGCTGTACGTGAAGCAGGAGCGGTACAGGTAGTGCAGGGAGAGGATCAAGCTGATCGCCAGCAGGCACAGCACATAGATCTGCAGCATGACGAATTCGTCATGGCTGTACTCGCAGGGCTTCTTGTCCCGGACCAGCACTACGATCATCCACTGGGTAGAGATGATGACCTGCACGGTGAAGAGCCCCAAGGCCAGGGCGGGCTCCCCCCAGCCGCGGGCCGCCGCGAAGCCCAGCAGAGAAAGGCAGCGAGCCAGCAGGCAGGAGAAGGCCAGGGCGAAGAGCACGCTGAAGAGGAAGAGCCTGGTGGGGCAGGTCTGAGGGGTGAGGCTGATGATGAAGGAGAAGGTGATGGCAAAGATACCCGCTGTGGCCAACAAGTACATGGACATGCAGGCCACCGTGCCGCCGATGCTGCTGCGCTGGTTCCTTGATGAAAAGCAGATCCACAGGGACCAGAGCAGCAGGCCAAAGAGGAGGAACATGCTGAACAGGAAGCCTGAAGAGGCCAGGGTCTCCAGCACGATACCCCACGCTGCCCGGCGGTCACACAGGTACCTGTAGATGTGGTTCAGTTCTCTGCCACAGCCTGGCACGCCCTTCCGGGGCGAGGTGGTTGTGGTGTTGGTTGAATTGTCGTTGGTTGTCTGGCATAGACAAGTGAGAGGGACGTAGAAGAGGAGAACCAGGGGGAACAGGGATTTGTGCATCTCGGATAAAAAGGCCATTTTCATGTTTAGTTAGTAATCCACTTGGGGATCCAGTCCTTCCTTTTAAATGTCCTTGGATAAAGAAGATCTTTTCTCCTGAGACAAGAAGCACAACAACACCAAACTGAAGTACACGTTTTCCTTAAAAGCACGTTAACATTGACTGAGGGCGCTGAAAGCAAGCAGGGGTGAAATGGATGACAGGATAACACAAGAGGTCACAGCGTGGAAAACAGGAAAAAGGAGAAAGCGGTTTGACAGCCTGAGCGCAGGAGGAGGCAGCGCATAAACATGCCAGAACAAGGCAGAGGAGTGTTCAACGCTGAGAATGGGGGGGGGGGGGAGAAACGACTGCAACATGGAGGTGAGACATGAAAGGTAACTATTCCGCTGCATCAGCTCATAAAACTGCCACAGACAGACAGGGATACACACACACGTACACACGGTTTACATGCAGTTCAGATTGGAGGTGAGAGATCTTCGCTCCTGATAGCTGATTGCTGCTTCCTCCAGCCTGTGACTGAGCCTTTGTTTGAGAATCAAAGACGAGCTTTAGCAGGATTATCACTCCGTGAATATGACCCCGGACCTCAACTTTGCCCCCACGCTGACCTTCATCTGTGTAGGTCAAGATTTGTAAAACAATGGCTGGAAGGAGATTCCTCCCATCTAAATATAAAGGCTTGGCCTATTAATGGCATTTTCATGATAATTCTTTTTAGCCAATGATAATAGCTGTTATTAAACAAAACATAACACAGAGTGCACGAGAATTCCAGAAATTGTATTCTTTATTTAAGGACAAATGGATGTTTAATAGAATACATGTTTGGTGACTATGACTTAAACTATTAAAAGTAAACCACAAAAAAGAGGCCATCTTTATAAAGAAAAGAAGAAGGTGAACTTACCCTTTACGCTTTGGGACGTGAGAGTAAATGCTTCCAAATCCCACCGTGAAAGTCTCGATTTTTGAGTTTGGTTGGAAGCCTTGCGCTAAACGGGGCAGCTTTAATGCGCCTCCTCTGCTGATGCCATATCTCTGCCAGCCCCCAGGAAACAGGAAGAGAGGGCAAGATGAGGACGAGTGGGGCGCGATGGAGTCGCTGAGGTCGCTGGAGCCACCCGGGGAGAGAAGATTGCTTTTCTCCTTGCATCAACAGGTTGGGTAAGAGCAGAGAAACCTGCACCCCTATACTCTTACCTTCCTTTCAGAGCCCTCCTGTCTGCCTGTGTCCCTCCCTCTCATTATAGGTGGGGCTCACACACCTGGAGGGGGATGACACACACAAGCACCCACAGGGAGGGAGAGAGTTCACTCCTCCCTACGTTGTGAATCCATTTCCCATAAGAATTTGCATCCCGGATCTCGGTAACGTGCGCACTTTATGTGGAGTGCGTGCACGAGATATTCATGTGAAACAAAAATGGGGGGAGAGTCTCGTCTGAGGGAGTTCACCTGACTCATCGGGGTACAGAGCAGAACCGGACAGTCACCTTAGTTACTGGCAAATCACAGCAACAACATTTGGAAGTGGCGAGTTAGCCACGGGGGGGGTGAGTGCTTTCAACTGTTGTCTTTTACAAGTCCATACTTAACGCCTCAACTCGTGCCTGTACAAGTAAAGAGTTTACAGGGTGTGTTCGCTCTTCAACTGTAAAGTCACTCTGCAAAACACATGCTCGTCTTTCTAATCGGCAAGCTTGTTTGCTGCAGGAGCAGAGTGTGTGTGCACATACAGTATATCTATAAAAGTGTGTGTCGCATGGGACAAGATTAATTAAAGTCTATCTCTACAGAATACTTCAAAACCCCGAAGTCTCCCCGATGTGTCACCTGACACCAGGGGAATTCAGACATGACGTCATGTGTTTGAAGTATCCCACACAATTCACACAAGTGGAATATTTGCGTAGGGATTATCTGTCGCTCAGTGCTGACAGCAGCTCACTGTTTTGAAAGACAAACCCTCTTAACAACTATTGTATGAGTTGCTGACGAATTTTGTACAAACGTTCAATGAATCTTACTGACTTTAGTGATCTGTGACTTTCCCTGAGGGATGTTTGTTGTTTTGTCCAGCCTAATGCCATTTTCTCAACAATGGGATGGATTGCCGTGACAATCATTTCCACCTCAGGATGAACTGTAATAACTTGGGTGACCCTTTAACTTTTTCATCTCGCACAAACAGGTCAAAATTTCAATTGGCCCGATTCCTTTGGTTCATGACGTAGTTTTTCTAGGCCAACCAGGAAGTCATCGTCGCACCGGTTCCCTCGGCAAGAAGCCACTGGGAGTTTTTCATTGGATTCTGAATTATCGCATGTCTTGTTCAACAAGATCATCTTCACAAAAAAACACTAACATGATGAAGCGTGAATGCGTTCGGCAGACGTGTAAAAAAGCTAAAGTTAGGCTATAAACAAACCACGGTCACATGAGTGCGAAACACAACAAGGCTGTGAATGGACTACAGGCAGGATGACGCCCTTAGTCGTATCATCATTCAGCCACTTGTTAGCAACCGCCTTTTTAAAGTGAATTCTCTTGAGGAGTGATGACTGACATGTTTGATATTAAAACCTCTTAAGCTTGTGTTGAAGCTCAGAGCTTATTTCAGCTATCAAACCAAAAAAAAACATTCAAAAAACTCACTGACTTCGAGACGAGTGACTCATTTCAGGGTTTTAGAAATCATTCCTGCAGCACTTTATATCTGCAAAACTAACGACATTCCCATCAGCCTCAGCTGTGTGCTGTTTTTAATGCTAGTCAGCAAATGTTAGCATGCTAACACGCTAAATCAAGATGGTGAACATGCTGACTGAAGCGTCCTCATGTTAGCATTTAGCTCAAAGCTCTGCTACAGCCTCACAGATCTGCTAGCATGGCTGTAGACTCCTAATATACGGTATGTAGGGTATATTCAAATGTAGAAAAGAATTACATTATTCTGTATAATGTATTTTTAACAGAGAGACATAACATCATAAGGATTTACTGTTTGAATATTGTTAGGGGTGTGATGTGCGAGCTGGGTTTCTTGTTAATGCCATGATTTGTTTTGCTTGTCTTACAAAGAGCCACGTGGGAGTGTGTCGATGTCAAGAAGCCCTAAAATGAGCGGTAATTATTATTAGATGTGCTCGGACAGCATTGGAGTTAAGAGGCAGAAGGAAATGTCATCAGTTTGAATTAGAGGACTGCCGGGAGACGTTTGGAGAGTATACTTTCATTTTGTATCTCATCCTAGATCCTCATTAGTGATATTAAATCATGATTTTTTTTTTTGTTTCCCTTTGTTTGACATATTTATTACTTGAGATGTATTCCATGATCTTTCATCTTTCATGTAGGTGTTCCATAAAAACAACACGGACGACACGAGTACTATAAATATACACATTTTACTGCGGCTATCAGGACGTACCAGTTCACAGTACACCGTCTGTGGTATTGTGCAACACAGAACATACAGTATATGCCTTTGTTTTCTCTAAGGAGGGGCGTGGGTTCAGATAGCAGCAAGGAGAGAGAGAGAGAGACGGACGGGATAAAAGAGAGTGGATACTCCGCGATCACGTGAAAGTGCACTGTAGCTCTCCTTGCATCCCCTTGGTGTTTACAGTACAGTTACAGTTGTGCACGTGGAGTAGAAAATACAATGCAAAACAAAAGTGGGAGGATGTACAAAAGGTAGGATGGGAGACAAGGTTCAACGCTGAGAACAAAATATTTACATTTTAATAGACAGCTAGAAGCAAATACAAGCTAGTGTTTTGCTTGCGTCCATTGCCGTGGGTTGGGGTTGGGTGGGTGGGGGGGGGGGGGCCCGAAGGGGGGGGGGGGGAGAGGGGAGTCCGAATGAGGAGGGGAATACGGTATGTGGGTTTTTTATTTTTCTCGTCTTCTCATTCCAAGTATATATATATATATACTATAAAAAAATATCATATAATCATACAAAAATAACATCATGATTTATGCTCTCCTTCCACTTAGTGGAGCGAGGCATGAGGTAGATAGACGAGAGGGCATTAGGGGGTTCGCTGGCAGTCTTATCATGGCGTGCCGAGCTGGGGCGGAGAGAAGGCAGGGCGGAGAGGGCCGGACGGAGGAGAGGTGCACGCAGGCGAGGAAGGCGGGAGGCAGCCGGTTTAGATGATACCGTATTTGGCCAAGTCGCTGAGCTCCATGTCGCCGAAGGCTTCCCATGGGCACACCACTGTGATGTCTGTGCCAAGGCCCTCCATGCCGGGGATATCGTCGCCAAAGCTGCAAGGAGAGAAAAACAAAAGAGGTGAGCTGCCTGAATGTGATTGTTTTGCATTGAATACAAATAAATCTATGTATAAATATAATAAATGGTTTTTTTTTGTTTACCCCTTCTGGCCTGGCTTCGGGGCTTTGCTCTTGAATGTACGGGTCTGCCTCTGCTTGAACTTGGGTGGTCCCTTCTTGGGTGTGGTGGGGCCGGCTGTTCCACCGGGGGCCAGGGCGCTTCCTGCAGGGGGGGCGGCGTTCATTTCTGCTGAGGGTCTCTAAAAGAAAGGCGACATGTGACATCAGACGGAGATCACAGTTGACTCCGGCTTCCTCTGTCCTCTCCTCTTTAGTCCTCTGCTCTCTCTCTCCCTCTCTCTCTCTCTCTCTCTCTCTCTCTCTCTCTCTCCCTCTCTCTCTGCTGCCCTCTGTTAATCCCGTTTCCTTCCAGCCCTCAATGCCAATCAGAAGAGATCATGCAGATTAGTTCAAACAACCAGATTAGCTCTAATCCCACTCTGATCCGCAGCGGTCCAATTGCCCTTCTTGAGCAACAGGGACGTCATACGCAGTGGGACCTCTGACTCTTCCATGAGCTCTTCAGCTCGGACAAAGAATTCAACCGCTGATGTGTGATACTTAAGATATATCAGGATACTGATTACTGAATTACAAACTATTCCAGCGACATCATCTGTGAATTGTTTTCTCTTGCTGACCTAGTGAGGCTGCATCACAACACATGTCACGGTGTTGTTGTCCGCGAATGGACCTGCGTACGTCCCCGTTTGTCCTGTCCTGTCCTCATCTCCATCCCGATCTTAAGCGGTATCCTGTCTGAGCTCTTGTTCCTCCTGTGACATCTGACTCTGGTAATCCTGGTAGGGCAATTTGACCGTGGCACGTTATGTAACTCGACTACATGCGCCCCCTGCCGCAGCAGATCTAGGGGGCCTGTAGTGAGGGTCACAAAGTCTGTGGAGCCGCTGCCCAACATGTTATCAGCCATCTGCTGCTGTGCCGCTAAAGTCAATCCTCTTTACACCGGGCATCGGAAAATACACACACCTGTCCTCTCCTTTTAAGTTTCTACTGAATGCCTTTCAAGAGTCCTTCTTTTACACACATCACGTACAACACGTCAGAGTTCTCAGTCATTCCTCTTCCTGGCACCGGTTTACAGTTTTAACGAACAATGCACAAACGCATATCTGCATTAAATCCCTATCGTCAAACTCTTAAGTGGTCCTCATCTGAATTCTTGCATTGTCTATGAGTTCAGTGCCTTGAAGCAGTGCACAAGTAGTTTATATTACCATGAACACATTATAAAAGTTATGATTAAAGTAAAGAAAAGAAAGTCCTTCATAAGTCGATAAGGTTGTTCTCACCTGTTGTCACAGATATCCCGAGAGGCCACCGCCGATCTCTGCTCAGAGAGATTGCTTCTTTCCTTGTTATGTGAATATGTGAAGCGTGTTTTCTGTGTTGTGCTCTTATATCTCCATCTCTAATCCCCACATCCTCCTCTTTCCAGTCACATGGGACCCCCCCCCCCCTCCCTGACTCTGATTGTCCTTGTTCCCATCATGCCACCCTCCGCTGCCCTCCCTACTTGGGAGGCGGTGCAACCTAATGTGGAGACGGCATCAAAGATCCATCTGGAAGGATCTGATCGGGCTTATCCCTCTAAACCCCAGCACGCCTGCGATGAGCTTTGTTGTGAGGTCAATGTGAGATGCTGCTTTCACGTGTCGAGCCACAAGTGAACAGACGTCAAACTCTTATGAGATTACATTTGTAATATGCAAAAATGTAGTTTCTTGACGCTTTGAATTTGATTGAAAAGGGATCTTAAAACAAGCAGTTTTGTTCTTTCTGTAATGCAAATTGCATGTTGGTGTATTCAAGGACATTTTGAGCACTGACGGTACTTAAAAAGTGCTTTGATGAATCACTGCAATAATCAGGTTTTAGCTGTGAGCTGACGAGCCAAGCTGCCTGACCTCTCTTCATGTTAAAGTGTTGTTAATCAGCAACAAGTGTCGGTGACCTCCCTCTCTCCCCCATCATGATGTCAAACATCACATTTGTGCTAAATCAAACGCAGCTGTTTGGTCCAGAAGAATCGTCTTCAAACTGAATGAACAGCTGGTTCAGTTGCCTTCGACTTCATGCCTCTACATAGTTACTCCATTCTTCTTTGGACGAGGTGACAGAAAATCCTCACAGACTAGTATTTTTAACTTCATTTAACTTCAGTATTTTAGGAAAGGTAAAACTACAAGGATTCAAGATTTAGGACTATATTAGAACATACCATGCCTGATCAGTACAGTACATCTAAACTGGTGTGTCATAATGATCATAATGATTTGGCCTCTGCGTGTGGAAAATGTTGATTTACAGGGAGGATACCGGATTAGCTTGTTTGGAAGCGGGACAAGAAGGTTCCTGAGAAAAAAGCCATGACACAACCACACAGCGCTGACGGGAAGGATACGTAAGCAGACGTTGTTGTTCTTCCAATTATCCAACCAGAAAGTCTTTAAAACCCAACAGACGTTTACAGACTGACAAAGTTTACCACTGACTCACACAGACACGGGGAAAGAAGAAGGCCTCTGTTCCTTGTGTCATTCTTTTGTTCTTCATTTCTTATATTCGTTAACTAATTGAATTCCATTCTGTTTGCGCTCTATCTTGATATATCTTTGCTAAAAATGAATAAATTGGGACGAGATGAGGCTGTTGTAGTCACAGCGGTGCTTTAAACTAGATGCTAAAGTCAGCATGCTAACATGCTCACAATGGCAATGCTAATATGCTGATGTTTAGCAGGTATGACGTTAACCATGTTGACCACGTTTGTTTAGCATGTTGGCTAACATTTAGTAATTGAACAGCTGGAGGATCACCAGAGCCATGAGGATTCTTCCTCTGGGGAACATGAATCTTTGTATAAAATGTCACGACAATCAATCGAGTAGACGTTGAGATATTTCAGTGTGGACCAACGTGGCGGACCGACCAACTGACATTGCCAAGATTGTAACAAAACAACCTCCCTGACATCCAAAGAGTGATAGCACAATGCTCATAATTGGAACTACATCTTTAATGGCTGTAGTTACTAACCACCTTTATTTAATATCGATGCAGTCTGTAGCTTTTACAGTCAATTGATTAACTCGTGTAAAAATGGAAGCAAGGGCCAAAAAATGTCGATTAGAGTTATCTGGGTTAATAATTTTCTTTTCAAAGATGGATATCCTTTTTGGGTTAATCTATCATTTCAATGGGGGCCATCCTATGCTGTTTTGACGCTAACATGGTCCTAAAGCAGGACAGGGCAAAGGCTAAGCCTATTTACCGGTGGAGTTTGTTGGCTGGAGATAGGAATGGAGCCGGCCTCTTTAACGACACTGACTTTTCCGCACTATGTAACGTAAACTCTGCATCGGTCTGCATCAGTCGGCCTCTTTAAAGTATTCCGGCAGATTGTTAGCAAGGCTCCTCAGTAAAAACAATGAACTGGACTGAACTAAAGCTATACGGTGAGATGTTAACATGTTTACTTAGTAGGTCAATAAGTCAACCTCGGAGCCCACTCATCTTATGTCTGCTGGATCAGGCTGATAGGCCACTAATTAGATTAACGAAGGGACTTAGTATTGAAAAGTAGCACTGGGGCAGCAATATGACGCAGGGAGTCCTGTGCTGGTGTGCTCAGCTTCACAGGCAGCATTTTACAGCATGTCAAACATCAGCTAAGAACGACTTTAACAAAGAAATCTGTTCTTTCATGAAGCTCATGTGTGTTCAGAGGAAACATACTCTCTTTATGTCTGAGCCCTTTTGGCCTGAGTACCACCGTATACAGTGCAGGCATACAGTAACCTACATGTGTTGGATGTATGGAGGTTTGCTTGCCATTCCGCAAAAAGCTCAAAGAGACCACGAGCGACTATTCTCAGCTCATGAATGCACTTTTTATTTACATTTTATTTTAGTTTTTTTACCAAAAAGTGTCGAGACAGGACTGAACCACAGTCTCTAGTGTCGCTTTGGACTCAAATGCTAAACTCGTGCTTTGTGTCCGAGACACATTTATGTGTGTAAATTCAAAGCCGTCTTCCCAAAAATAGGAAAACGTGACCATTAACGCAAACAGTTTTAAAATCGTCCCTTTTTTTAAAGATAGATTTTAGGGTGTCGGGGAAAGAGACACCAGACACATTAGCATTCACTCAGCTTCCAGTCAACCCTTCATTGTGCTTTGATCCGCTCTGCACCCGCTAAGGGGTGAAATATACGCTGTATGGCTAAATAATAATAACATCTATTGGAGAAAATACAGCAGAGAAGTGGATTTATGCTGTAAGGGGGGATTGAAGAAGGTTTCCTGACATGAAAACTTGTCCCCATACGAACCTCTTTGAAGACGGAAACTACAGCCACATTTGAAGCCTTCATGGGGTGAGTGTTAAAATATCAGTTTAAATGTATGTTTGATGAAGCACCTTTAATTATAGTCTCATGCGTGAACCACACGTATCCGAACATGTCTCAGACTGTCTGGTGTGCGGGTAAATATGAGGTCAGACGGTTCCAGTGTTGGTGTTGACAGTTGTAGGGCTCGTTCAGAGAGCGATGTACACAGCAGATGTACAGGTTAAACATGGGACACTTCCTCATCCCAGCACTTGCTGATGGGGCATTTATGGTATATTGACCTCTGACCTCAACACAGACACTAAGTCAGTGCTTCCGTTTTTTTGTCCACAGCCCAGTCAGGTTCTCAAGTAGCCCTCAAACAACGCAGTCTTTGTTCCAAGTATGTTCATTTCAATTTCAAAACTGTTTCAATTTCTTAGCTAGCTCACTCAATTTCTCTCTCTCTCTATCTATCTATCTGTCTATATATCTATATATACATAATTATATACAATATATATATATATATATATATATAATTGTATACATTATTGTTTTTCCATGTAGGCCTATCCCCTAGCAACAGCATGAGCAGGCTACCAGCTGGTTGGCAATTATTGTGTAAGTGACACACACACACACTTACCTGAGGTCACATGCACATGCAGTACATAAACAGTTACATGTATCACAGATTGGTGGGCTACTCTTTGCTCCTGCGTATGTGCTGTCTGTAACAGAGTTCTTTTTCCATTTTCACCCACGAAAACCCATTGTGTATGGGATTCAGTGTAGTTCTGATCCATCACCTGTTTTCACAGGTGATGGATCAGAGCGGAGACACCGCTGTGACACCGCTGTGACTCCAGTCGGTTCAAAATACTGCGGCAAGACTTTCATCCACAGGAGACGAGAGTCTATCTCCTCTGGCTGGCCGGCTCCTGTTAACTCTGTGATGGTTTGATTCAGGACGTCCTGATCCTCCAGACTGGACCAACACTGTGTCAGAGTTGCAGAACACCGACCAAAAACAGCTTGATTAGCCTCAAAGAGTCCGTAGTATCATCCTGTTTGCAATCTCTTCTTAAAACCTACTCTTGAAAGGTTTCTCACTCGGTTTGATCCGCCACATCAGTGAAGTTCTTTTTCAATTCTTACGGCCTTGATGTAACATTCTTCTATTTATTCCATTTTATATTTCGGTGTTGTGTACCGCGTTGTTTTCCTGATCAATGTCATCTGCCACATCTTTTGTACATCTTGATTATGCTACCTTTGTAACTGCTTTCAGATGGAGCAGCATACATTATTCATGAAGAAATCACTGCTGTTTCTGTTGCATCAATATTGGATATTAGAATCCTGCTTTTTTTATTTTACATAAGTCATTTTCATTCCAGCTCAGTCAGTATTCACGGGCCTCTCTCTCTCTCTCACTTCCGATTGAAATTCCCAGGCATGGCTCACAGAAATTCACTTCAAATGCAACTAATTATTTTACTCATTGATGCAAACACGTTCTGCGTTTCCATTTCCCATCTGCCGCGCTTCTTTAAGCTTTGAAGTGCAAAATCCCTTCAGTTTTTGCCTAAATCTCTTACTTTCATGGCAACCAGCACATTTCTTTTATACATGGATTTGCCTGCAGTAAATATATTCTTTTTCTATTTGATGAGTGTGTTTTTTTTCATTAACTTTATATTCCTTTTTTAAAGCATTCCAATTCCTTCATTTTTCTCTGCTGGTTAATAAGCCGTACAGAAGGACAGGCTGGTGTTTCTTGTAAGTTGTCAGCATATTGACCGAGTTGCGTTGGTTTCAGTAACTTTGGCTTTATTTTTTACATTTTTAATGGCGAGTTGTCCTTTCCATTGTTTCTGCAAATATCTATTTGTGTTTTTGGAATCTTTCCAGGGAAGCTGTGAATTCTGTGTGTCGGCCTCACGTAAGACTTTAAGAAGCCGGCGTGTCGAACTAATTGGACACTGGGAAGGATTCTCTGAAAGGCAGATTGACCTGAATC